AATCACTATACAATCTTCATGCGATTTTGTCTCTCAAACTCGTGCAGACAGATTGAATGACCTGAAGAAATAAGCTAAGAAGGTCCAAAACTCAGGAATAAAAAGCATTCTCAAGTCATCTCTAACACTACGTGAAATTGCACTGCTCTTAAGAGACTCAATCAACTTCCAGAGATAGAAGGACCCCGAGAAACCTCATAGTCTCTTTTCTCCACAAACAAAAGCATAGCTTCTGCTTTAAAATCCTCCAAACAAGAGCCCACTCTACTCTCTCCAGCAATGTCATCCCTATAGGGCAATGGGAACCATTATATATTTCCTACCCCCACCCAGAGCCAGGACTGACACTGCACACCAAGAAGGCTTAACCTTTCCTTGTATTAAATGCTTCATAGGTTCTTCTGTTCACTTTCTTGTGTGACCAGGATCAACAGGCAGTGGGAGCCCCCATACCTGGCCTCCAGACCAGAAACCAACCCACACTGAGTGCCCCTGAGTGCCCCAGTCTCAATGCTGAGTCTTGAATGAAACAGCCATTAATTTAGGCCACACCCCAGGGTTCACACCTGGCTGTCAGCCACTTAACCCCCACCCATTCTTTTCACACATTGTCTCACACCTGACTCATTCCCAAGCAGGCCTTACACTTTCTTTTTAATCCATGCAATTCATTTCCCCTCTCTCCTCCACAGAGCTGAGGCCAACAGACCATTTGCTGCTTTGAGCTGCTAGGATCCCTTTTTAGGATTTGACCAGAAAACTAAGGATACCCCAGGGCCGAGTTCCTGGAGGTGTAAGACAAGCCATGGTGGGGAATCTTCAACTCTAATCCTGCTCCCTTATTCTAAGCAACTTTAAATCACTCCAGAACAATCCACCGTCAGCAGGGCATAGTGGCTCCTGCCCGTAATCCCAGCACTTTGGGAGGCTGATGCAGGAAGATGGCTTGAGGCCAGGAGTTCAAGACCAGCCTGGGCAACATAGCAAGACCCCATCTCTATAAAAAATTAAAACAAAATAGCTGGATGTGGTGGCTCATGCCTATAGTCCCAGCTACTCAGAGACTGAGGTGAGAGGATCCTTTGTGCCCAGGATTTAGAAGTTTGAGGTTGCAGTGAGCTATGATCACACCACTGCACTCCAGCCTGGGCAACAGAGTGAGACCCTATCTCCAAAAAAAAAAAAAAAAAATATTAATTCTCTCCATTTCTCTTCTTTCTTCCTCTTCCCCATGCTGAATGGTGAATATGCTAGTGTGATTTATGAAGGCAGAGTGAAGACCAAGCCTAGGAAATGAACAATCAGTGAAGCCAGATGCACTTTATACAGTGAGAACAACTTCCCCAACTATCTCCACCATTGCCTGCATGATTTTCAAGTTCTCTGCTCATCCTCCCTCTGACCTCCCCAACCCCCAGCCAGGCCTGAGCCAACAAGTCCCACAGCCACTCCCCGACTCAAGCAATGCCAGAGAAAGGTTAGGAAACAGGACTGACTGGTTCTACCCTCCTGCCTTTTCCTACTTCTCCATTCTCCCAGCCCAGCACCCCACCCAGCCCCAACACCCTCCTGCTCTACCAATTATGCGCCTCACACTCTCCTCAGACCCTGGCCATCTGACTTGGCTCTATTCCTCCAAAACTCCTTCAACACCAATTAATGTAATTCTGCCTACGTTGCCAGGGGAAAGACTGAATATACAAACGGACAACGGCCAGACCACACGTGAAAACAGAACTCCCAACCACAAGCTGCAGCAACCAGTTCAGGAACTATGTAGCAATCAGCCCCAAATGGTCAGGACTCAGTCAATAACTACCAGCTTCCCTCATTTTTGCCGCCACTTCCAAGGTAGAACCAATGAGAAAAAGCGAAATGTGCCCCTCCCAATCAGTTGCATAGGACCCCTGCTGCTAGTAAGCCTGCCTTGCCCCCAGCTTCCCCAAGCTGGGCATATTTACCCTCTTTTTTCACAATAAAGCTTTCCCAACCCCCTGCTTGCCTTTGAGCCTCTGCCAAACATGAGTGATGGTGGCATGGTGGCTGACTCCCTTGCTACAGCAAGCCAGAGACTGACCTCTCCCACCTGTAGCCCAACATTAATTTTTGATCCTCTCTATTCATTAAATATCTCATTTCTTTTTGCTTTTGCAGATTTTCCCTCTCTACTGAATAACATCCCTCAGTTTAAACAGCTTGAGTCTGCTTTGCTCCCCGCAAAACTCCTGTACTAACCCGGCCAGCCTGACTGAATACTACCTTCATTTTCCTTTTGACTATTTTTTTTTTCTGAGACAGTTTTGCTCTGTCATCCTGGGTAGAGTGCAGTGGCGTCATCATAGTTCACTGTAACATCAAACTCCTGGGCTCAAGCAATCCTCCTGCCTCAGCCTCCCGAGTAGCTAGGACTACAGATACACACCACCGTGCCCAGATAATTTTTTCTATTTTTGGTAGAGACAGGGTCTCGCTCTTGCTCAAGCTGGTCTTGAACTCCTGAGGTCAAGTGATGCTCCCACCCTTCAGCCTCCCAGAGTGTTAGGATTACAGGTGTGAGCTACCATGCTTGGCCTCCTTTTGACTTCTTTAAAGAGTAACTACTCTCTCTGTTGCCAAGATGTCTGTCCCCATTCTAGAGCCCTCACATCTGGGTCTCACCCTGTCACTGCTCCACTATCTCTGGATCACCAGGGACCAGAGCCATCAAATCCAACGCCTTTGTTTCAGTCTCTCCCCCAGCACCACCCTGGCTTCCCTTTCCCCGGTTTCCTTAAAGCTACTAGCCCTGTCTTCCTCCAGCCTAGCTGGCTGCTGCTTCTTTCTCCTCCATTTGCATCTATTGTCTAAACTTGGTCTTCCCCAAGAATCTGTCCTTCGTTCTCTTTATCTTGTCAACCTCAAAGTTTCCAATGACCATGAAGCCTACGTTGCCTATTGTTCACAGCCCTAACTCCCTATTGATTTCATCTCTCCAAAAGCCATAACAGTACCTCAAATTCAGGATGTCCAAAACAATTAATCACATTTCTTCCCAATTTTTTTTTTCTCCTCCTGTGGAATCATATATCCAAGCCACCCAGTCCCCAAAGCTTACTATTATCTTTCCTCTTCTATTCCCTTGCACCTTCATGTCTGTAAAGTCCTTCCACCAGTTCACTTCGACCTTATCATCCACGTTCAGTCCTCCTCAGCTGTCATTACTGTGGGCCCAGTCCTCAGAATTTCTAGGCCAACTATTGCAACAACTTTCTCAATGGGCTCAAAGCCTCCTATCTTTCCCTACATTCCTCACTGTCAGGGGATCTGCCCTTCATAAAACTAGATTTTCCAAGGTTGAAAACGAAGGGAGAATGTCTACATAAGGAGAAGAGGTTCAACCAGGCAGCCCTGACTGCTAGTTTCCAAAATTCACCCCACAGCCTTTCAGTAGTTGCAGATAACCTTAGGCAGCTAATAGCTGTGTTCAGCCATCTTGGCCTAGTGATTCGATGGGACCACAATGGACGGTTTCCTACCCTACAGAGTCTACGGCAAAGATCTTGAAATAGGCTCCAAGCTGCTGTTACAAGCACTTATGCACACTGCCGGGGGAGACCGAGTCAAGGAAAGAAGCCCAACCAGATCATCTGATGTTACAAAAATGGCCCCTCCAGAAGGTTGAGCCATCAAGAGATGGTAAAAGGCCCGAAGCAAAGAGAATTTACAGGGGGCAGGAATCTGAACAGCAAAGTCCCCCCATATGTCCTCACATGGAAATGCCCTTCCACTTCAGGATCAGTGTTTGGCTTTATTTAGGAAGCTGGGAAGTTCCTTAGACCCACTTGTCATATCACTCCCTGTACAAAAACCTGCCGTGACTTCCAGTGGCTTCCCACTACCCAGGAACAGCTAGTGCAAACTCCTTGGGTTGCCAATCGAGGCAGTCTGACCGCTGCCTTTGGGGCCTCCATGTGCTTCCTCATGTCGTCCCCTGTCTGGAATTCATTCATTCTACAGGCATTTGCGGAAAGCTGACTGTGCCTTCTGCTATGAGCTGGGGTGCCTTTTCCTCATCTTCCATATCCAAATATAACCAATCCTTGACCACCCAGCTCAAGGGTCACCTTATCCATTACACCACCCGACTCCCCCAGCTGGAAGCAATCTCCTCCCCCACCCCCACCCCCACGCCCCACACCTTCTCAGAGCACTTATGGCATTCTGCTTTTATTAGTTATTTGGGTGAATGTCACCTCCCGTACTTGTCTGAATCCTCTGTGTAACTCCTACCACGCTCAACACTGTTTTGCAGAGGAGAAAGAAAGCAGCAACTACCCCAATTGTCTGCAAATGGGTCACTGGCTTATCTGTCTCCTGCATACTGAGCCCGGGAGAGCCAGCACAGCCCGCTCTCATCCTGCACAGGGAAGCTGGTCAAGAGCCGCCTGCTGAATGAATGAGTGAATGAATGAACTCTTTACTCTTGTAAACTTCCTTACACTTCTTTCTCCCCCACCATGTTTAACATCCAGTTCTTCATCATAGTGAAAAAATTAAAAGTAGAAAGAAAATTGCTTCGGGTCCAGAGTTTGTCGTGGCCAACCGACCGCAGAGCCGGAAGCGTGACAGTGCCGCGGAACGCCCTTCCCCGCCCCGCCCCGCCGGCGCTGCTGCCCGAGCCCGCGCCGGCGCCCAGCCCCCACCTGCCACGCGTCTCCCGGGCAGCGGCAGGTCCCAGGGGCGCGGGCAAGGCCGCCTTGAAACGGGCGTCCGCCGCGATCCCGGGGCCGGGCCGGGGCGGGGAAGCCCGGGCGGGGAACCTCCCGCTGCCTTGAGCTCCGCCTTCCCGATCCCGAAGGGCCGGAGGGGCCGCACCTGCGCTCCACGCCCGGCTCCGCGCCGGCCCTGCCCAGGGGCGGGGAAGCGGCAGGGTGCGCCCCGCGTCCTCGAGGGCCCAGCCTGGGGACCCAGCGGGGACCCCGCAGGGCACCCGCGCCGCGCCCGTGCCCGCCCGCACTCACCGTCGGCGCGCGGCGCTCCGAGCGCGCCCCGGGCCAGGCCGAGCAGCAGCAGGAGCGGCAGCAGGCGGCCAGGGGGGCGGCCAGCGCCCCAGGGCCCCGGGCCCATGCCGCCCCGCGTCCCTCCCGGCGCGCCCGCGACTCCTCCTGCGGCCCTCGAGGCGCGGAGATAAGGCGGCGGGTGCCGCGGGGAGGGGACCGGCCCGGCCGCTTCCGGCGCCGCGCGGGCAGCGGAGGGCGCCGCGGGGTCCCCGGGCCGGAGCCCCCTCCCTCCCGCCGGCCCGGGGTGCGCCCGCTCGTTCCCTGCTCCGAGCCCGGCCGCGTGCCCGGCGCGCAGCGGGCGCGCAGACCCGGGTCGGCCCTGTGGCCGCTGACTTTCCAGCGGGGGGACAGACCGGGATCGGATAGCGACACGGCTGAACTGAGAGGCCGGGCTGTGCCGGGGAGGACATGCGCCGCGCGTGTGGCGCACGGGGCTCCGAGCCCGTCGGGGGCTCGGGAGGGTGAAGGAGGACGGATGGGGCCGGAGGGGTGGGCATCTTGGAGGATGTGAAGGAGAGCTGGAGGGGGTGGCTGCACCTCCGAGGGGACGTGAGAGGGCAGGAAGCCTCGGGCCCAGGCCACCACGGGCGACAGACTTGACCGGGTGACAAGAGCTTAAGAAAGGAGAGCTGTGGTGGCGGGAGCGGCTGGCAGGAGTCCCCGCTGCCCCGAGGACACGCAGCTCAGGGCGTCAGGGAGGCAGTAAACCAAGGCCTGCAGGGCGAGAAGGGCGTGGGTGAGGAAGCGTGACAGCGACAGTGCCACAGTGCCGCGGCTGTCCCAGAAATGGAGAGCGAGACCTCCTCGGGGCGGGAACAGATGGTTGGAGGGAGACACTAAGCTGCAAAGGTAAATAAGTCCCTTAAACGAAGTAAAGTTGCTGAGAAGCTGTAGCAGGGTTTGAAGCCGGGAGTGACTTCGCCGGGGAGGATTCTCTGTCTGCTCCGTGGGATTGGGACTGCCGAGCCCAGCCCCGAGCTGCCGCCAGAGTCAGGCGAGAGAGGCGGGTCCCGGAGCAGGGCACTGGCACGCGGGCACGAGGAGGAGGGGAGGGCATGTCTAGGGGTAGGGTCCCTGGACTTTATGACTACCGGAATGTGGGGGAGCAGGAAGAGGAATGAGATCCAGTGTGAAGGCTCTGAGCTGGCGCTGCCTGCGGGGCTGTCCGGCAGCACATGCCCCCCCCTTCACCCCAATCTTCACTTGCTTCCTCTCGCCAGCCACCCAGAGCCTGACCTAAATCTAACCACATGTGAACACACCCATATAAGGGCTAAACTTGTTGTGCACCCTTAAAAAGTAGTTAAAAATCAACTTCCTAGGCTCTTTTGTAGCAGGCTTTCTTGCAAAATGTTTTTGTTCAACCAAGATAGGGGCCTGCTTTGGGGCCTGCAGTGTGGGTGCTGCAGTTTCTAGTCTTTAGACACATGTTTTGTTAAGCCCAGCTCTCCATGATCTTTGAAATCATGTCACTGTTTCAACAAATATACCATTCATTTAAGGCATTTTTTTTTTTTTTTTTTTTTGAGACAGAGTCTCGCTTTGTTGTCCAGGCTAGAGTGAGTGCCGTGGCGTCAGCCTAGCTCACAGCAACCTCAATCTCGTGGGCTCAAGCGATCCTTCTGCCTCAGCCTCCCCAGTAGCTGGGACTACAGGCATGCGCCACCATGCCCGGCTATTTTTTTTTTTTATATATATATCAGTTGGCCAATTAATTTCTTTCTATTTATAGTAGAGACGGGGTCTCGCTCTTGCTCAGGCTGGTTTTGAACTCCTGACCTTGAGCAATCCGCCCGCCTCGGCCTCCCAAGAGCTAGGATTACAGGCGTGAGCCACCGCGCCCGGCCATTTAAGGCATTTTTAACCAACCTATATCTCTCCATCTCCACCACATCCCCTTGCAAAATAAATAAATTTATATATGTATATAAATTATATATATATTATATATATATATATTTGTGTACATTGTAGGGGCCAAACTGTAGGGAAAAGTTCCCCTTGGCACTCTAAATGGTCTCTGAAAAAGCAACTTGCAAAAGGTTAACTAGAGAAAATGTGCACAAATTTATTTCATGTGTATACACAGGAGCCCTAAGAATGAAGACCCAAGGATATAGAGGAAACTCTCTATTTTTATACTTAGGTTCAACATAGTGTGGAAAGTGATGTAGAAATATGATTGGACAGAAAAGTTATGACCTGAAGTTACTAGACTGAATAGGGAAACCCAGCAAGGCCTGTCTTCTTGGCTTCTCTGAGCATGCCGGCCCTCCTCCTGGGTATGAGGCAGGGCCCTCTCTGGAATGGGGGTCTTATGACCTATAGTCAAATGAGATAGGTCAGATAATTTCCTTATGGCCACTTTTTACACAAAAAGGTGAAGGGAAAGTTAGAGTAGAACTTTTAGGTTTTACGGCTGGCTTTGGGGAAAAGGGATTCTGGTTTCTAGGACCCACCTTAGGGAAGAGGGATCCTGGTTTCTATGGCTAGCCTCCGGGAAAATGGAAGATGGGAGGGCAGAACAAGGTTAGAGAAAAACTTCTGTTTCTGAGGCTACTTGTGAGGCCTTTATTTTGGGATATTGTTTTCTGAACCCCAACAATATATACATATATTTTTAAAATTGGTAATATCAGGGAAAAGTGTCCAAAACTTATAAATGGACAAAAAAAAATTACAGGGTATCTTTTCAGTGGAGTGATGTGGAGTAGACCTTCAGGACATTTATCTGATTCGATAGTGTTGTGTACCTTCATTGGACTTCCCATTGACTCAGCTATTTTACAGCACTACAGGGGTAGAAGATATTATAACTTCTAGACAACTGGTGATAATGCAAAAGATTCTTGCCCACACCAATGAAAATGAATGTTTTCAAATAGAAATAAAGATGATTAATTCTTTTCTGCCAAGTAAAAATAAGATAAACCCAATAATTGCATTTTATCCTATATGATATTAACTAGTTAGCCAGTTTGGCATCTATTAGCAAATTCATTTTATCATTTCTGACTTCAAATTTTCCTATGAACTTTAATATCTTAATAGTTCTCCTTTGAAGTCAACATCTTGCTGAGTCCCTCATTAATTAATTACTTTAATAGACTCTTAGATTTGGACTTTATATTTGTATGAGTTGTATTTTTAATTTTTCAAAAATTTGCCTTAGCACAATCCACATTACTCTATATTCTACATTAGATTGTGTGACTTTCATCAATTATTTTTATTGACTCCTTTTTTGCTTTCAAATATATTTTGTAAAAAAAAATTACTTGTTACTCAACAGTGAGTTCATTGGATAACTGAATGAAAAACTGTCCCCTCATCCATCAGTATTTGTCAAAGAATTAAAATAGAATATTGAACCAGTGTTAAATCTGGAGCAGTGAGATTATGGCTGAGAAAATATTTGGCTTAAGAAATATGTTCTTCTTTTCCCAGTTACTTGGGAGGCTGAGGCAGAAGGATCACTTGGGCCCAGGAGTTTGAGGTTGCTGTGAGCTAGGCTGACACCACAGCACTCCAGCCCGGGCGATAGAGTGAGACACTCTCAAAAATAAAAAGTTCTTCTTTAAGAGTGCATGGCTAATATAGCAGCATTTACTTTCTCTCTTTTTTCTTTTCTTTCTTTTTTTTTTTTTTGAGACAGAGTCTCACTCTATTGCCCGGGAGTGCCGTGGCATCAGCCTAGCTCACAGCAACCTCAAACTCCTAGGCTCAAGCCATCCTCCTGCCTCAGTCTCCCAAATAGCTGGGACTACAGGCATGTACCACCATGCCCAGCTAATTTTTTCTATATATTTTTAGTTGGCCAATTAATTTCTTTCTATTTATAGTAGAGATAGGGTCTCGCTCTTGCTCAGGCTAGTCTAAAACTCCTGACCTCAAGCGATCCTTCCTCCTCAGCCTCCCAGAATGCTAGGATTAGAGGCGTGAGCCACCATGGCTGGCCTACACCAGCATTTTCTGAGACAGAATTTGGAGGAAGCTCTTTCTTCTATGGCATCTAGAATTTTGACTTTTGGTTTCAAGATGGCATCCTAAACCCTGACATTTCTCTCTCCCTCCTCCCCAAATCCTGGTGAACTGGCCAAAGATACAAAGTGGTATAATAAGAAATGCAGTTGACCCTTAAACAACACAGGTTTGAACTGCCTATGTCCACTTATATGCAGACTTTTTAAAATAAACATTTGGGAGTATTTTTTGAAGATTTGTGACAATTTGAAAAATCTTGCAAATGAATCTCATAGCCTAGAAATATCAAAAAAATTAAGAAAAAGATATGTCATAGCCTAGAAATATCAAAAAAATTAAGAAAAAGGTATGTCATGAATGCATAAAATATATGTCTAGATAGTAGTCTATTTATTATGTGCTACCATATAATGTATACAAATCTATCATAAAAAGTTAAAATTACCAAAACTTACACACACAAATATTTACAGGTCTATCTTAATGCATCTTGCTACATCATCAAAATATTCAGTGACATAAAAGGTATTTGTACACCCATGTTCATAACAGCATTATTTACAGTAGCCAAAAGGTATAAGCAGCCCTGTGTTTATTGACAGATGAATGGATAAGCAAAATGTGGTATATCCATACAAAGGAATATTATTCAGCCTCAAAAAGGAAGACACATGCTACAATGTGGATGAACCTTGAGGACATTAAGCTAAGTGAAAGAAGCCAGTTACAAAAGGACAAAGACTTTTGTGATTGCACTTATATGGGGCACCTAGAGTAGGCAAACCCATAGAGACAGAAAGTAGAATGGTATTGCCAGGGACTGAGAGGAAAGAGGAATGGGAATTAGGATTTAATGGGTATATAGTTTCAGTTTTGCAAGATGAAAAAAGCTCCGTGGATGGAGGGTGGTGATGGATGTACAACAAACAATGTGAATGAACCTAATACTGAGGCATAAACTTAAAAATGCTTAAAATAGTAAAGACAAAAAAATTTACATACCAATTTTTATTTTATCAGACAGGCACTAACATATAGGACTTTCAGGCCAGGTGCAGTGTCCCATGCCTGTGATCCCAGCACTTTGGAAGGCTGAGATAGGAAGTTCACTTGAGATCAGGAGTTCAAGACCAGACTGG